TTCCTCGTCCCCGGCGTGCGGGGTTGTGGGGGGGGGGGGGGGGTTAAGACAGATCTAGTGGGTGTCTGAAATCAATGGAAAGATAGACACCTATATAACTTGGTGGATTTAGGCTTTTACTTCTATTTTCATGCCCAACTTCCTAAACAAGAGGGATATGCCCACAAATCTTTGTGGATCTGAACCTAAAGCTTTTAAAACAATTACATGCTTTTGCAATTCTTTCCTTGACAGAAGGAGCAATTAAAACATATTCAGCAAATTTGCTACAAAGCAGACAAGATATTCTTAATCCTGGGCAGATTCTCCTCTGGATTACGACACAACATAATGTTAATTTACTATGTATCAATTACTGTAGATCACCTCAGCATGAGGGAGGGCTTTTTTTCTGTCTTTCAACTGTGCTCTGAAATTTGACTGTAGTCATAAAGACTCCTCCTTCTTCCGAGGAAAGAGGGAAGTTTTCGAAAAGAATTTCATAAGGCAAGTAAGATTAGCAGATTAAGATAAACCTGAACAACTTGAACTGGAGCTTCTAAAGGAAAGTGATGTATTTTTATTAGTGGAAAAGGCACATTAAAACACAGGGAGATTTTCTAAATGACTAGTGTAACTAAAAGATTTATCTGAGTCAAACATGCAGACAATGATACTTGTTTTTAATTAATAATGGCTGCAATTAAGTCTTGTAAGAGCAATTTTTATAAATTTGCCTAACCTTGGTTTAAAGTTCTGACAAAAAGGAGAAGCTGCTTCTGGTTAGCATTTTGTCTTCAGGTATTTTGTACGCATTATTTCACATGCTGCTGAGAAAAGCCCATAATCTTAGGATTTCCACAAGACTAAGACAGCAGCAAGAAGCTTCTGAAGGATTCAGAAATTCAGTCCAAAACAAGCTTCCACCAATTAAAGCATAAGCAGTGGTCTAGTAAACCCAATCGTTAACTGCACAGCTCCACAGTCCAGTACAAACACTCAATTTGATCTTATAAAAGCAAAAAGAAATCAACTAAAACAAGTTGCACACAGACTGTAACTACCATTTCTTTTATCATTGGTGAAAAGGCACAATATAAAATGGCAGGATAAGTTGTATTATTGCATATGCTCTGCTGAACTCTGAACAAGGTAAAAGATGTACATATGTGTGAGAAGAAGGTTGAAGGAGTAAAGTACGTTTAAAAGAAAAACTCTTTCTTCATAGTGTCTGCATAATTTTTCCCTGTAACAAGCTGCTATTTTAAACAACTCTGATGGAGAATAAACCATTGCTGTGTCCACACAAAAAACAGCTGGCTATGTAAGTGGGCACAGCAGACTGCAGAATACCGCAGGTCTCTCTAGGATTTGGAATTACACTGGGTCCATAAGGACAGTGCAGTTTTAATATGAAAGGCGACAGTTTTAGGCAGCAGTTGCTTTCCTTCTTCTCATTGCAGCTAAATACTATGCACTTACATACCACCTTGTTAAATCATCTGATAAAGTGGAGTCCTCTTGGTCATGCTTTACATAATTATCCCTACGATTGCATAAAAAGGAAGGGAGAAGTCATGTTATGCACCTCAGAAGGCAGCTGAGGCTTAATGCAGTTTCATTTGCGAAAGAGATTGAGATAGAAGGGTGCTAGCTGAACTAAAATTTCCAAGTGCTTGAAATTGGTCATTTAAACTGATAACTCTATGCCTAAATAAGTAGTTTGATTCTCAGAGGTGTTGAAGTCAACAGCTGTGGGTCTTCATCACTCTGAAAATCTGATAATTTATTCAAAGCTCTACATACATTTTAGGTAGCTATCCTGTGGCATCCATCTTGGAAAATTTTGTCTCCATAGTACGATTATGAAAAATATGTGGGTTTTGTTTTTGTTATTTTCTTTCTCTGTGACACTCAACTAAACTGTAGCTGCTTCATGTAGATTTTAATTACATTTGTCTCTACTGACTTTTTTGCAGCAGATTTTTTTTATCTTGCAATCTGAAATAAGGTCTTTAGTGCATTTTATGTTGAGTTTGGCCTATTTCTTATAAATTATTCTAAGATTCATTGAATAAAGATTTTTCAGATTCATGCAAGTTTGAATAATTGTATGAGGCCTGCTTGGAAAGAAGGGGGGATGTTTTGTTTTTTGAATATTTTTCATCTTGGTCTGAATTGAAATTAGAAGAAAATTACTCAAATGAAAGAAGGTATTTCTGCCAAAGTCTACGTTATGTATGATTAGAAATAAAAGTTTAAAAAAATTAAGATCTCTGTTATGTGAGAAGGCCTCTCTGTGATGTTTAACCAACACAAAGTAGCCTGAAAATAGGTAAGTGCTCGTAGCAACGGATCAGGTGAACTCCTGCACCTGCACTCTGCTTTGCTCACTGGGGAATGGAGTAAATTCTCCAGGTACAAAAGATTTAACCTTTGCATGTGTTCCCATTATGAAAAATCTTACACGGTTCCATCTTTTATAGAATAATATCCGTAAGATTTATCATTTAATTCACTGATAAATGAAAAGACATCCCTGTCTTTTTCTTAATAACTATTGAATTTTAGTATTTTTCACAGAGGAAAAGAGAAGGAATATACCTCGTTTGCTGTCAGTGACTACCAGCACTACAGAGACTATCCAATATTGAACACCTGTCATACTCGCATGCAGCAAATTCCACTGAAGATTACCTGAGAGATAAATGTGGCTAAAATCATTTAACAGAAGCAACGCAGAGGTATTTTAGGTTGCTTATGTCATATTTATTCCTCTCCCTGCATGCTAGAGGAGGCACACATTTCTGGAACTAGCTATAAAAGGGGCATCCATAAAAGTAATATGAAATATAAGTAGCCACACATTAGGTTCTGGTTCAGTTAAGAACAGGTACATGAGAGTACTTGAAAAGATGCTCCTGCCACGTGGAACTATTTCTTCTCAATGAGAAACGATCATCTAGTGTTTGCAAACAGAATGAAAATTTATTTCATGTGGTAGAAATGAGCATTCACAAATACTGCTTTAAGAATAGACTTCCTTTTCTAGGGACAAACAGCTTTCTGTTTTTTTTTTTTTGCAATATCTTTTGAACACTATTAACTCCGTACAAAAAAGTCCTCACTTTTTAAACTAAACAGCTATTGCTCAAAAGTGATCAGAAATGGTTAATATGGAACTTTTCATCTTAATATCAAAAGTTTAATCAAATAGTTTAATAGTACAGTCTATGGAACTAATATGACAATGATTAATAAATTCATGTTTCTTATTTATAGGAACTCATTTAATATCCCAGTGCCAGAACCTCTGCTATAGCTGTGAGCTGCTTGAAGCAACAGATTGAGGTTAGAGTCAGGAAAGAGGCCGCTGCTCTCTGATCTCTCAGCCTTGACTCAAGTTTTGGCACAGGTTAGAAAAGTCTTAGGCTGCTCTAACCTACACCAGCTGGGCTCGGTTTCAAAGGGACCTTCAACCAAGAATAACTGGCATGCAGCACTGCTCTCTCCCTTCCTCCTCTGCCCCTTGTAAATGCCATACGCTTGGATGGCACAAGCTGTCCGCGCTGGTTTCAGGCTAGTAGAGGACTTCTCAGGGTCAGGGGCACATCCAGCTGGCAAGGTTCTAGGTATCTTACACAGCACTGCAGCGGTGCAAAGGGACACGGGCAATGGAAGAAGTCCTGCCCTCCAATGTCTCTTATAAATTTATACTAC